CCTGCAGGGTAGGCGGCAGGCTGACTTCCATGAGCTTTGTGCAGTGCGAGAAGGTGTGCATGTTGAGTGTGTTCAATGACGTGTTGGATATGTCGACCTTAATCAACTGTTTGCAGTTTTCATAAGCCCTGTGCCCTATGTATGTGGCATCTACACCAAGAGTGACGCTTTGGATGCCCGACGAATGAAAGCATCCTTGCGGGATCCCTGCTGGTGGGGGCGGCGTGACTGGTCCCTGGTGCGAGGCAGGCATAGCTGTTCAAGTTTGGCGCAGCTTTCAAACGCATACGGTCCAATCACAGCTCCTTCCGCTAACTCGCTAGTATCTGCTTTAATGATGCCAACCTTTTCCAGGGCGCAACATTCAGAGAAAAGTCGTGCTCCAAACACAACACAGCCAGCCAGGCATTTCTACCATGGTTAGTGCAAAACACCCTTGAAAGGCCGCATACTCCACTGCAACAACAGTGTTGGGGAGCTTGACTATTTGTAGTGAGTAGCATTATCGCCAAGCTTCTCGGTCGACATGTCGCAGCCGCGGTACCGACGAGAAGGCCTTGGCTGGGATAACCCCAGTAGCGTTTGGTGGGACCCATACAGCCCTGGGGTAGTCTTCATACTCTTCCCCTTGGATTTGGTCCCTGTGGTCATACGTTTGGAAGCACTTCTGAACGATCAGGTGGACTGGAAGTGCGTGTTAACCCAGAGAGTATCCGAGGCTGGGCCCGGGACCTTCGGCGAAGGGGGGCTTAAGCCCCCCTTCGAAGGGGGCTTAAGCACCCCCTTAAGCCCCTACAAGGTCCCCTCCCTTCCCCCCCACCCCCGCCGAAGGTACCGAAGCTTAAGCGCACCCTTAAAGCCACCCCTTAAGCCACCCCTTCCGCACCCCCTTAAGCCCCCCTTAAGCCACCCCTTAAGCGCCCCCTTAAGCGCCCCCTTAAGCCCCCCTTAAGCACCCCTTCGAAGGGTGCTTAAGCGCCCCCTTAAGCACAGTTCCCTGTCCCACTTCCCTGTCACTTGGGACAGGAAACTGAAGAACTTGGGGGAGAAAAGTGGAAGCTTCTCTGGATATGAAAATCGAAAAAGAATCAACCGTTCACCCTTGTCGCTGCTCTTTTCATTTCCGAGAGCGTCTGGAGCAAAGAAGAAGGTGTAACTGTAATTTTTCAGAAATCTGACATCTTCTCACATCTTCTGACATCTTCTTAGAGAGAAGCTCCAGGTTTTTTTCAACCCGCAGAGGCAGAAGCGCATTCTGCGCGCTCACGCCTTCAGCCGTGAACCAATGGGAGACAGGGCACTTGGCAGCTGTGTGCAATGGAGAGAACAATTTTCTGACGGAGAACCGCATCTTTGCATCCGCGCGAGACATCGAGCGGAGACAGGAGCTGCGTGAGCTCCGCGCAGATCCAATCTGACAAGGGATTCATCCAGCCACCACTGAACCCGTTGACCTTCGGTCGAGTCGGGACCACTGTTGGCGTGAAATTCAAGACGTCTTTGAACTGGAATCGCTGAAGCCATTCCCATCCAATTGCGCCATAGATCAGGAAGTGTCAGTGCAGACCGGCTGCGGAAAAGTTCGGCGAAAGAAAAAGGAAAGAAAAAAACTGGTCATCTTGACTCGTTCCTCTCTTCTGTAAACTCTGATGAAAAAACAGTCTCACTTTTCAGATGTTTCGGAGCTGTCAGCTTGCTGCAAGTGTTGGCAACTGGTCAGGCGACTGCAGCGGGTGCGTGGTTGGCAGCTGGGAGTGCAGGCGACTGGAAGTGTGGAAGGCCTGAGAGGCTGATGTGCCTGTTGACAAGCTGAATAGAACAGCGTTTTCCTGTTTTTGAACAGTCAGGGAATGCTTTTTGAGTGTTTACAGTTATGTTGGCCAGTTAGCCAACTTCTATGGGAGTATGGGAAACAAAAAAAGTGCAAAAAAAGTGC